CCTGAGTTCAACCGATTCTCCTGCCTCAGCTTCCCTCCCTCCCTCTCTCTCTTTCTTTCCTTCTTTCCTTCTTTTCTTTCTTTTCTTTCTTTCTTTTCTTTCTTTTCTTTCTTTCGTTTTTTTGTTTGAGACGGAGTTTCGCTGTTGTTACCCGGGCTGGAGTGCAGTGGCACGATCTCGGCTCACGGCAACCTCTGCCACCCCACCCCCTGAGTTCAACCGATTCTCCTGCCTCAGCTTCCCAAGTAGCTGGGATTATAGGCGCCCGCCACCATGCCTGGCTAATTTTTGTATTTTTAGTAGAGATGGGGTTTTACTATGTTGGCCAGTCTGGTCTCGAACTCCTGACTTCAGGTGATCTACCCACCTCAGCCTCCCAAAGTGCTGGGATTACAGGAGTGAGACACCATGGCTGGCAAATGTGAGCCACCACACCCAGTGGAGATTGTCATTAAAAATGTTAGTATGTCAGTCCTGGTTACATCATGCAGACACCCTGCTAAATTTTATACATCTTTCCTCCATGCTTTCTGCTGTTGATATTCTTATATTGAGACATCAGAGAAACTTAGTGGCCTATTTGTAGAACTCAGTTTCTTTTTACAAAGTTAAAGAATTATCAAGAATTGGGAGTGGGCTGGGGGCAGTGGCTCAATGCCTATAATCCCAGCACTTTGGATGGCCGAGGCGGGTGGATCAAGAGGTCAAGAGATCGAGACCATCCTGGCCAACATGGTGAAACTCTGTCTTTACTAAAAATACAAAAGTTAGCTGGGCGTGGTGGCGTGCACATGTAGTCCCAGTTACTTGGAAGGCTGAAGTAGGAGAATCACTTGAACCCAGGAGGCAGAGGTTGCAGTGTGCTGAGATTGTACCACCGCACTCCAGTCTGGGTGACACAGCAAGACTCTGCCTCAAAAAAAAAAAAAAAAAACAAAGAATTAGGAGTGTTGGCTGGGTGCAGTGGTGTCTCACACTTGTAATCCTAGCACTCTGGGATGCTGAGGCAGGTGGATCACTTGAGCCCAGGAGTTTGAGACCAGCCTGTGCAGCCTAATGAGACCTCGCCTCTGCAAATAATAAAAAAATTAGTTGGATATGGTGATGCGTGCCTGTGGTTCCAGGTTCTCTGTAGCGTGAGGTGGGAGGATCACTTGAGCTTGGGAGGTCGAGGCTGCAGTGAGCCAAGATTGCACTCCTGTCTGGGTGACAAAGTGAGACACTGTCTCAAAGAAAAAAAAAAAAAAAAAAAAAAAGAAGTGTGATGATAAATACAGCAACATTTTTAGGGTGGGGTGGAATGTACACAAAACGACTAGCCTGTGTTCATACTTAAAAAAAGTAACAAAGAACAAGAACTTCATACTTGAAAAAGTAAAAAAAGGACAAGAATCTGAATGCTGTATCTGGCATTTAGTGTATATCATCACTTCGGAATTGCATGCTGTGCAGAGCTTTCCTGTTGCGCCGAATGTGACGGGATCTTCCGACTTGTTCTTGTTGGTGACGTTAGATTCATGAAAACTGAGTAGCACCCATGATACTTTTATGTTACAAATATTAATTTCAACTTTGACTTTGGTGGTGGCAGTAGACTTCTCATATTAGAGATTACGATAAAATGTGAATAGTTCCAAGCTCTTCCTCCTCTCCCATCTGTGCCAGGTGACTAAAACATTCCCATAAATAACTGGTACCCTTTTAATGGGACCTTTGGGTTCATGAGAGGTAAATATGGATGACCTTGACATTTTTTCATATGTTCACAGTTCAGGAAACACAATATCTCCGGATAACTAAAAGCAGGTAAACAAGGAGGCAGACAGCCATGGGCTCCCACTGATCCTCGTAATTCACAGGGGTCCTGGCCTTGCTTCTGGACTTTGTGCCGGAAGTATATCCCATAGGCAAAGGAATCTATTAAGTTTAGGTCTAGGTCCTCTAGGTATTTCTGTAGGCAAATCTCACTGGACTGGATCTGTGTTGGTCTGGCATTATAATGAGATGTTTTCTAAGGCAAGTATATGAGTCTCCTCCCCTACCCCTGTGAAATTAAGGACTCTAGTACTACTACCAGGGCAATGTTATATAGTAGCTAAGTGCTTGGGAGCCAAATTCCCAGGTTTAAATCCCAGTTCTGTCGCCACTAGTGATGTGACCTTAACTAAATCATTTAACCTCTTTCTGCTTTAATTTCTTCAGCTAGAAGATGAGGATAATAATAATACTTATGTTTTGTTTTTTTTTTTAAAGAATTAAATGAGAGCTATCCAATTGTGATTAGCATGTTAGTAAAGATTTCTGAAATATTATTCATTAACCAGCTTTCAGGTATCCTGTGCTCTTAGAGACTAACCTACAAAGCTGATGAGATCTACAGCTTAAGAAAATTTTCTGTTTGGAGTATACACTCAGTCATATGAAAATCGCGTATGGAAAAAGATGAGAATGTAGCACTGACTTTGCAAAACGTTTTAGCAAGTTTTATTTCGCTACTTGTCTTAAAAGTAATTTTTCTGGTTTTATGTAATGTGTGTAGTAGAAATGGGAATATTAGAATACTTACTTCATTGTATTGTCAAGCATTATTGGTAGCCCTAATTTATATATCCATTGTGCTGCAGTTTTAGTTGCAGAACTACCATCTGCAGGGATTATTATAGCACTTGAGGGGATGGAATTACTGCACACTGTTTTGGGTACTTTTTTCACTAAGAAGTATGGGCACCATGAGATGGTACTTACCCATCTGTCTGTTGAAGCATTTGTATGTGTATTACCTGAGCACTTAGGCACACCACCGAGGGGGGATTTAAAATGGAAGGGAAAAAGGAAAAATTGAAAATAAAATAACATGATGGAAATAACAGACGCCTCTTTGCAAAGAATACCTAAACTACTCTTAAAAGCAGACTTAATGGCCAGTACAAAACCATTCACTATTGTCTTTAAAAGACAAAGCTCAATCCACAAAGTTGAAAGTGAAGTGTGAATCTCGAAATTTTCCAGGAAAGTCAAGCAATACAGACTTCTAGGTCTCAAAATCAAGGGAGAAAAAGAGTCAGTTTTACAAAGTAACTTCTTAGATTGATTGTGAGCTGTCAGTGTTTGACCGGTAGATCCTGAAACATTGAGTGATTACATTCTTCAATGCTGGGCGGCCATATATTGGTGGCCTCTGCTGTTCTGAGCTTCTAAATTTGTGTATTGACACATGGGAATTCACTAAATGAGCAGCAGAGAGCAGAGTGGAACATTTTGGCGTCAGCTTGAAATTTCCCAAAGAGAATCAGTGGAAAGATGTTGAAATCAATTGAAATATTATTTATTGATTGCTTATGTTTTATAGCACCTAATAAATTGTCCAGTCCCTTAAAAACACTCCATCTGCCTAATTCTCCATTTCCAGTTACAGCAGATACAAGGATACAGAGATGCTCTGTACTGATAGAGAGGGATGATTTCAGATTTTCTTCACACCACTGGGCTCCCTGACAGCTATTCTTTGTGCTTGCACACATTCAAACAATTTTCAATTTCAGTTGGGGACGAGAGAAGTGTTTTTCTCCCATATTCAGTTGTCTTGGTATTTTTTACCCAGGCAGCTCCCCCTGCCCTCCAACACATGTGCTTCCTTAGAACTTCTTCATCCATATGCTAAGAGTGGGATGTGGATTCTCAGCATTCTGTGCTTCACCGCACACCTGGAAACCTATGGGCTAATGACCCTTGTGAGAATTTGGGTGGTAAGGAGGCTGCAGAGATCAACTTCCGGTTATAGATGTAGAAACTGAGGCCTGGAGAGGTGAAGAAATTCAACTGAGATCATTCAGCCAACAAATATCAGGACGGCACCTCTAACGTCAGTGTAATTTCAGCTTTTCCACTAAGGCCTACTGGGAGGAGTGCAGTGGTATGTTCCGGGCTGAGTCTTGGTTAAGGGATTGCAGTGGACTGACTGAGGAGTGAAAGCAAAAGAATATAATGGCCGGGTGGGTGGCATCTGTAATCCCAGCACTTTGGGGAGGCTGAGGTGGGCGGATCACCTGAGGTCAAGAGTTTGAGACCAGCCTGGCTAACATGGCAAAACCCCGTCTCTACTAAAAATAAAAAAATTAGCTGGGTGTGATGGCACATGCCTGTAAACCCAGCTACTTGGGAGGCTGAGGCAGGAGAATCGCTTGAACTTGGGAGGCAGAGATTGTGGTGAGCCGAGATCGAGCCATTGCACTCCAGCCTGGGCGACAGAGTGAGACTCTATCTCAATTAAAAAAAAAAAAGAACACCGAATCAGGGTTTGGGTCAGAGTTTGTCTAAGGTTGTATTAGAGGCATATCTTTTGGTCAGGAAGTATGAATATTCTCTCTCTGATATAAGCGAAAAGGAAGAGATTAAAGGCATGACGAAAATCAGGTCTTTTTAAATAGGTGTTTACTTTTTATGGAAACCATGGAACAATGAATATTTATTCATCATCAGGTAATTTGGGGTAATGGAGTATAGACAATTTCTGGTTTTACCTTCTTGCCTCTTTGGGTCCGTGCTGCCTTTTGTTTTGCTTAAAATGGACTAAAAGAGAAAGCAACTGAAACACTTTCCAGATCTGATAACTTCCGAGATCTCAAGTGAAACCTCTGGCTCGGGTCCTAGGGTGAGGTCACACAGTCTAATATTAGTCGGATTTATGTTGGTGTGTCAACCAAAA